AATATTTTATAAAGAAATTAACAATTTTTTTTAATTTCGCAGGCAAATTTGCCTGCTAGACAATCTAAGGGATAATATAAGAAAGTTTTTATAATATAACATAATCCAGTTAATTTTTTTTTTATAACAAATCTCTCTATAACAAATTCTAAATATAATGAATATTAAATTTTTAAATTTTATATTAATTCATTATAAAAAATAGAAAGTTTCTTATAGAAAACATAGGAATTTTTTTATAATGAACTTTTTTTCTAATAGAATCACTAGTTCATTATAGAAAGAATTAACTGTGAAACTGTGATAAATTTTATTATATATACTGTATACTATCTGTAAAAAAGATTTTTTTAAAAAATGAGCTAATAGGAAGATTTTATTTCATGTAATACTAATATTTTTAGCAGATATAGAAAGTTTTGACAAAAAAAAATTTTAGTAAGAGTTTTGGTAAAAAAAAATTTACCAGCAGAAAATTTCAGTAAAAAAAATTTTCTAACAAAAAGTTTCTGAAAAAAAACATATTGCGCTTATTCAATTATTATTAACCTAGATTTTTTTTATGTAATGAAGGATGATTTGATTATTTCAGACAATTTAAACTACTCTACATGTTTGCATATAACTTATTTATCTCAGTAGGATCAAGTATTCTTCTTGACTTTAAAGAGCATATGAATATTTAAATGTGAAACTTTTTTGTCTGAGTAGTGAGATTTTATATACTTAGAGGTGAGACTTAGTATATGTATGTCTTAAAGGTGAGACTTTTTTGCTTAAGCGGTATGAATTAATATATGTATGCCTAGAGATTATACTTTTCTTCCCAGAAATACATTGAAAATTCACAAATTCTGACATATCTGAAAAATAAGGTCGGCTAGAAAATAACGCAATCGGTCTTTAGTTATTGATTTATTATTAACTAATCTCACCTCTGTGAGATGAGACTTCACATATAGTTTACATCAGCATTATTATTAGAGAATTCTTATTTCTTTGTCTATTGCATTTTCTTTTTATTAATGATTTGTATAATTTTATAACTTTGACAAATTATTTTATAAAACAATCATTCATATTATAAATGATGATTATCAAACAACTTTCAAACATACCGTATTAACATTAACATTTTTTTTAAAAAAAAAAAATGAAATTCTTGGCAAAACTTATTATTATCAAAGAATTGAAACTTAAGAGAGGAGAAGGCACTATACATCACCATTTATAAAATAATTTTAAAAATGAATGTCAAAAAGAGCTTAGATAAATTAGTTGAGGGATTTGAAATTAAAGTTGGGCTTAACCGTCAAATTAGGTGAAGAAATCAAAGTAAGTTTGTTGGTTTTTTTGATAGATGTTGTTTAAACTTTAGTAATTTCAAATATCTCCACCTGCCATTTCGAAGATTAACAGATCGTTCTTTAAAGAGGAAACATAAAAATATAGCGAATCAATGGACATCTATTTTTTTTTACTAGATACGAACACCAAGCTTCGAAATCTTTGACATGAATAATATCTTTCTTACAACAGAAAAAGTTATTGAATCATACCAGAAAAGATTAGATGCATAATATATTGTGAATGATATGAAGCCACGAGCTCGTTCAAACCAAGTAAGAATAAAGAACAAATGGCGTTCCGAAAGAATTTAAGCTTAAAGTCCGGAATAATAATGCATGACATCGGGGTACTGCAATTTCAGGGGTTCGTTCTTAGAATTCAATGTATAGAGGAAGACCTCATGCAGAGTGTTGGTATTATTACCCCAATCAAAATTTCATCCTATGATAAACTGATAATTAATGTTGACAAATACAAGTATAACAAACGATTTATTCTCCATTATTCATTTCATATTAAGAAATCAAAATTGGGAAATCCAATTTTCATGATTATTTCTTCTCGATGAGAATTATTGTTTTTATTTTTTTTATGTATCCAACTTTATTAATGATAATTTTACGACTAAAACGGAGCATACATTTATTTGACCCCGAAAAAATCCAAAATTTTCGTCCAATAATTTTATACGGAGCCCCGGAGAGTGTACACCGAAATTTCTTTGTATTGGACAAAAGGAACATTTAGCATCTTATCCTAAGTCATTAGACAATGTTTTATCCTTCCAGTTTTTGAATTGTGCTACTTTACTCATATTACTATATAAGGAGACAAAAATTTCACAATAATCATATTACCTCTACATTCTTCATTATATAAAAAGATTTCATTTAACAACATTTAAAGATAAAATTAACCTTATATCAACATCCGGAAAAGTTTTCCATAATTGAGCATTTTAGGCAAGTCTAACTTTGTAAATAAGTTTTTATTAACCCTTAGTGGTTTCTTCTCTTTTCCAAGAACGACAAAGGTTCAAAGCGGACAGAATTGTTGCTTTGATAGCGCGTTTTTTTTTGTTTCTAGGCTTTTGTGCGTGTTTTCATTTTTCGAGCATTTTCGTGTACAACCTTACTAGTATAGCTTTGAACTGGTGCATTCCATTACAAGAAACATTGCATTGTGATATATATATATATTACATTACAGTAAATAATTCTAAACATTTTATTCTTTATTTTTTTTTAAAAAAAAAATAGATATGTCAAAAAAGATACAAAAAACCGTGTCAAATATGATGAATTCTATGGTTGGTACCAATTCAAGGTTACATAAAAGGAGGACCGAAAAGACTGAAGAAAGTGAAGCTGGTAGTTCCCAAGTAAATGTGCCAAGAATAAACTCGGAAGACGAAAAGGTTGAAGAACATGACGAAGGTATATCTAATATACAAGACATTTTATATCTTGATATTTGATGTAAAAAACTAACTATTTATTATACTTTTTAGATGAATTTGATCTCACATTATTGCCTTTTCCAAGTATGTTCAAATTCAAGCGTACCGTCACATATCTATATATGAAATAATTATTTATTATATAGTCTACTAGGACTATGCGGGATCGATTTTTATTGTAGTCTTATTGATAATATATGTTGAATGGGGAGACTATAGCGGTTGAAGACCGATCCCCATTCCCACACCATTCAATGAATATATAACATACTATATCAGTAAGGCTTCAGGTTTATTTCGTCTCTTCTTTTATTTTCTAGCAAACTCGACCAAATCAGCTACTCAACGTATTTATAAGGAATTGCGAATGATTATACATAACCAGGAAACTCCAACCAACACTAATGATTTGGGATTTTACGTAAATCTTGACAAATTGCGTTCGGTCTACCAATGGGTTTGTCACTATCTTTTTCACCTTAAATTTATGATATGATGAATGCTCATCCATGATCTTTCATAGGTCGTGCAACTCAAAAACTTTGATCCGACTATTCCTTTGGCTCAAGATATGGCAAAGCATAAAGTTAAAAGCATTGATTTAGAAGTTCGTTTTGCTCCGGATTATCCTAACTTACCCCCGTAAGTTGTATAAATGAAATTATTTTATGGGGGAGGACTTTATTAGAATTAAACTTACAAATTTCATTCCTTAGATACATTCGTGTAATTCGTCCAAGACTTCTTCGATTCATGAATGGTGGTGGTGGTCATGTAAGCAAAAATTCTAGTAAAAAAAAAAAATTTTTTTTTAGTTATTTATTTGTTTTTTGTTCGTTTGTACTTTTATTTTGACTAGGTTACAGTTGGAGGATCAATTTGTATGGATTTGTTAACAATGGGTAACTCTCGTGATCAAGGATGGTCTCCTGAATATTCGATGGAGGCAGTTTTATTACAAGTCAAATTAGCGTTAAGCACTCTAACTCCTCCTGCAAGACTTGACCGTAATTGGAGAAATGAATACAGTCCAACTGAGGCAATGAGTGCTTACATTAGAGTTGCCAATCAACATGGATGGGGAGTTCCACCCCATTGGGATACTTTATTTAAAAGCTAAGAATTTATTTAAAACTTATAATGTAAACTTTGCGGTTTTTGAACAATAAAAGGAAGGTATTTAATGTATAGAATTGCTATTATATTTAACTATATTAGGCAATTAAATGAATTAGATGTACATAATAATAATATTTAATTTGGAATAATAAAGCAACAATGATCAATCAAATTAACATTTTAATATTCGTAACATTTATTCATATGACTATGACTCATTTTCAACAGTTTTTTGTTTCTTTTTTCTTCTCTTCACTTTTTCTTCGACGGGTGGTATAAATGCCTTTTCTCTCTCAGTTTTACGTTTCAATGAATTCTCTTTTTGTTTCTCCTATAAAAAATAAATGTGGTGGAATGGTTACTTGTACTTTTTTTTTTAAAAAAAAAAAAAGAAAGAATAATAAAATTAATACAATTACCTTTTTCTTTTCCGCTTCATGAATGACCTTTTCTTGTGGGTTAAGGAAATATTCACCAGATTCCAATTGCAAATCAATCTACAAAAAAAAATTTTATAAGTATATTTTTATTATTCCTTTTTAAATATATATAATATATAATTTTGAAATTTAAATTATTCAGCACCTTGCTTGGAATTTGAGCAGGTGGGAAAGGAGTGTATTCTTTCTTCTTTATAATAACTTTCTTTTTACTTTTAACATTTTGTTTCTTAAATTGTGGTAAAAAACGATCCCAAGATTCATTCTTTAATTTTGGATCGTTGGCTAATTCTCTTTTTATCATTAATGTCTATTCCAAAATATTTGTTTCAGTTAAAAAAAAATAAATTAACCATAAAAATAAAAAATAATAACCGTAAATTTAAATAATTACTTTGATATGATAAATTGGATGAACATTCTTTATGCAATCAATAACTATCCTCCTAACTTCTTTTAGTCCCTTATATGGTCCCATAACTGATACAGTATTTCCTTGAACCATCACGTAACATTGAGTCAACAACTCGATAGCCTACTCATACCCAAAAATTATAAATTTATGTCAATTAATATCAAATAAAATATGTAGGATAAAAATTGATTAAACCTTGAGAGTTGATCCATCTCGCCCGATTAATCTATGTCTTCTTTTCACAAATGTTTCTTTATTCGCGATTATATTACCGATTTTGATAATATCACATGCTATACCATCCTCAAGAATTTTCACAGCCTAATTTTCCGAGAAAGTAAGTCCTCAATTAAATAAATTAATATCATATGAAATTATGGCAACTTACCTGAATATACGGAACACTCCTAGCTAAAAGCTTAATTAAATCTCGCGCCTTTATAATGGCATAAGGATCGTACGTTGTTCGTGAAGTCTTCACCGTCATGCTACCTTCTATTAAATCCAACACGCAAGAAATTCCCTATTTCATGAAGTTATCAAGCAAAATAGGAAGTACTTTATTACATACATTATTGAAGAATAAATAATATATAATATATTTATATTTATATACCACTTTCTCTAAAGCTTTAGTGACATGAGGCCATGCTTCTTTTAAATATTTTTCGCGATATTTTGGAAATAATGTTGCAAATGATGATTCTTCCGTGAATGTAAATCGATTATCTTCTCGTGAAAATGGCTCAATTTTCCAATGATCTATATCATCTGTATCCCACGCTATACATCAAAATAAATGAAATTTAAAAAATGCTATTGTGCATCAGTAATATTTCAAGAATTACTTAATTGAAAAATAATTACGCTTTTCTTTTCGGTATTTTTTTGATTTAGGTTTATTTGTTGCATTTGAATTATTTGAATTAGAACTTTGTTCAACTTCTGTCATCTTTCCGTCAAAAGATTGGATTTCCGTCCGATTCAGCCCAATCAAATTATATTTTGCTGATCTTGCCTAAAAAGGATTATTTAACTGTTAAGGGTTTAAAAATTAAAAGATCAGTTCCTATTATAGTGGTTCCGACATTTGCAATTATTAGATCAGGAATATAAAAATTAATAAAATTTTATTTTTATTAGTAAATAATTTTTTTCACAATATGTCTTCAAAGCGAAGTTCGAAGAATGAAGAGTCTTCAGTAAATTTGAAAGCTCAAACTGGAAAAACTTGGGGACGGGATAAAGGTAAATACAATTTTATACTCTTTTTTTAAAGGTCAAGCGAATAATAACACTAATTAACCTTAATTTAGATATTTCATATACTACTGTTTTATTGTCTACCCTTATTCTCACTTGTTGTCCACTATTAGTGGTTTATTTTTGGGTGGTTTGCACCCATTATCAATGTTCTATAATTGAACCGATTATCCTTCTCCAATCAAATGATTATTCTAAGGAAGCTTTTGAATCATTTATTTTACAAAAGCTTCCTCAATTTTCATTGGATGGCATAAAAATTTACTTCGCTTGGTTAAGTTTTCAAGCAATACTTTATGCTATCTTGCCAGCAAAAATTGGTTATGGTCAAAGGACTCCAGCTGGACACATCTTACCTTATAAAGTAATTATTAAAATTATTTGATTTTCTCTAGATCGAATCTATTTTAAAATATCTCTCTCTCCTCATTTTATTTTTCAGGTAAATGGGCTTTTGGCTTGGTTAATTACTCATACTCTTTATTTGGTTGGTGCATTTTACTTCAAATGGTGGGATGCTTCCATCGTCCATGATCAATGGGGTTCTCTTTTCGTAGCTGCCAATATATATGGTTATTTTCTTACCTTCTTCTCGTTTATCAAAGCATACGTGATGCCTTCGCATGCAGAAGATCGAAAATTTTCTGGCAGTTTTATTTACGATTTGTTGATGGGTATTGAAATGAACCCAAGATTTGGGAAATATTGGGACTTTAAATTATTTCATAATGGTAGACCTGGCATTATAGCATGGACATTAATTAATATGTCTTTTGCTGCTGCCCAATATAACAAAATTGGTAAGAGTGATTGTCTTTTATTCATTTTTTAAGTTTAATAAATTTAATTGATTTATATATATATATATTTGAATTAGGTTATGTAACAAATTCAATGATCTTGTTGAATTTCTTGCACGCCGTTTATGTTTTGGATTTCTTTTATAATGAGGATTGGTATCTTAGAACTATTGGTGAATTGTCTTAAGTAGATATTAAATGATTGTTCAATTTATTTTATAGTTTTTGTTAATTATGAACTATTAACTTTTCATAAAAAAAAAAGATATCGCGCATGATCATTTTGGATTTTATCTGGCATGGGGTGACACCGTTTGGCTTCCGTGGATGGTAGCGTATATTTATCTATTATAATTTAAAAGTACATTATCTTCTTTAATAAATTTTCTATCCTCAATCCCTTTTTAGTACACACTTCAGTCGCATTATTTAGTTCGCAATCCCATTGATCTTTCAATTCCTTACTTTTTATTTGTTCTTGGGGTTGGACTTACCGGTTATTATATCTTCCGAGCTGTAAATCATCAAAAAGATATTGTTAGAAGAACAGATGGTGATTGTAAGGTTTGGAATAAACCTGCTACATTCATTAGAACAAAATTTGTTACTAGTGATGGAAAAACTCATTCAAGTATTTTAATTACAAGTGGTTTTTGGGGTAAGACCTTTTTTTTTTAAAAAAAGATAAATATATATAAATATACTAAATCTTTTTTTTTTTAAATTTTTTTTTTTTTTAGGAATATCTAGACATTTTAATTATGTTGGCGATTTGCTTATATCATTGGCAATGTGCCTTACTTGTGGATTTCATTATTTACTGCCTTATTTTTACATTGTTTACATGACGATTTTGTTAATTCATCGTATTTGGAGAGATGATGCAAGATGTAGAGGTAAATATGGAAAGTATTGGGATGAATATGGAAAGGTTGTAAAATGGAAATTATTTCCTGTAAGTACATTTTGATATATTTATTTTACGAACGTTTTTAAGTTTCTTAAAAAAAAAATTTATTTTTCTTTTTTTTAGTATATTTATTAAATAATGAATTTTGAAGTATATGATAAATTGTGTAATATACTGTGTTACCTTTTTTTTTTCCTTTTTCCAAACAACATAGTATTGGGTCAAGGATAATATAACTTTTTAAACAAGTTAATATTTTATAAATAATTATTTTCTAATAAATCTTGATTTAAATAAAAATTCCTCCTTACCAAGAAATTTTTATTAAATTGGTTGTTCAAGGATATTTTCGACAAAATCAAGTGGCAACATTATTTCGCAAAATTTAAATCGGTCGCGCGAAAATCTAAAATCGCCCCGGTAATTCTTAATTCTATTTTGCAAGGATTTTTTAATGGATAGACCCATGAAAACATTTTACACATTAATCAGAACGTATGAAATTTCGGATTTTCTTATGATAAATAACTTTTTTTTTTTGAAATCTTAAATTTACAGATACCGTACCTTATATTTGATCCAATGTATTTTTTTTTTTATAAAAAAAAAAACAATAATAAAATAAATCAAAAGTTTTCCCATGTAATTATACATCTATATCCATTTTTGCGATATCTCTACCATCATTCTCCTTCTAATTAAATTTATTAACGCATTCATACACCCAAAATATCTAATTAAATTTTCTTTTTCAATTTAACCCTCCCAATAATTTCGGAAGTTTTATCATTGTTATTATTGTTCTGTATTTTCTTCATATTTTCTCCAAATCGTAACTTTATCCAGTATTTCGAGAACTTGTTCATAAATAACAAACATTAAACCGCTTTGCATAGCAGTCCATGCTACACGTGGTCCGATTCCTCTAAATAACCCTCCAATCCCTTGATGTCTATAATTCCATAACATTCCTTCCCATATCCCTGTATAATAGTAATGTGTTGGTTTTTGTGTAGCTGAAGGTGCAGTTGAAGGTTGTTTTGTTGCTGAAGGTTTTTTGATTTGTGTTTGTAATAATGTTTTAATTACATCCAATGGCGTTGTTAGTGCACCCGCTAATCCACCTGCCAAAGCTCCTGTAGCAATCTCCCAATGTAAATTTAAATAATTGCT